CTAAAAAAAATTCTTTAAATCAAAGAAATATGTTTTGTTAAATATAATTTCTTAACTTAAAAAAATATTTGTTAGATTTTAAAAAATATATAATACATATAAAGTAATATTTTTTAAATTTGTAAAATAAGCTGTAAAGTTATGAATTTCTAGAAAAAATAAGATTTCTTTGATTTAAAAGATCTATATATAAGAATAAGCAAATGATTTCCTTACAAAAAATTAGTTTTTTTTAATGTAAAAACTGTGTTTAAATAAATATTTACACGTTTTAAAAGTAAATAAAATACAAGTAAATCATTTTATAAATTTAAATAAATTACTTTCTAATATTAAAAATATTTTTTGTCTTTCAAAGTTTCTTTTATTATCAGGAAACAATTTATTTAAATTTACAAAATAATTTATTTATATTTTACTTTTAAAACAAATAAATATTTTTTAAATATACTTCTTACATATTTTTTAAAAACATACTTTTTATATTTAAAATCTATTCTCTTCTTTTAAACAAATCATATGGTTTCATATATGGATATATCATATGTATACAATACGAAGCGTCTGTTAAAGTGACAGTAGGTAAGGTGAACGACTTAAAAACCAGAGGTCTCAGGTTCGAATCTCAGCAATGCCCATACAGCACAGAAGTTTGCAGCAACATTGCTACAACGTTGCAAGATTGCATATTGCAATGCCATGTTGCAGAGACATTGTAGTGACATTAATTTGCAATATTGCAGCAATATTTAAAAAATATTACGAATATAATATAATAATTTTTTATTTATTTACTAGTTATTTTTGTAGTAAAAATATCGAATAGGGGACCACCTTCTAACGGTCTGGATATTGACATATATTATAGAAGTGACCCTTTTGAGTCACAATGAAAAGCTTTTAGCTGGCGTTTGTTGTTCGTTAAAAAGTTATTAACAAAAGAAATTGCATAAAATGAATGTAGTTTTTGGACACCGTATATACAAAAACATCGAATTTGTATACTAGGAAGGTGCCTGCTACACACACACACACACACACTGCTTGCCAGCAAACGCGCTCGCCCGCCCGACAGGGTGGGCTCGCGATGGGTGCACATGTTCCTATTATAAAGGGTCTTTCAAATTGAGCGGTTTTTTAAATTCTTGAATAAAACATACAATTTGTGTTGATTTCAAAAAACTTTTTATTGGTAATTGAAGTATAATGTATGACATTTAAACACGAAAGACTATATTTGCCAAATGATCACCTCTTGCACATCCATTCTTTTGTCAAAATTTTGGACGACATTTTGACATAACTGTGGCTCTATCTCGCCAATGACACGAATAATTTCATCCTTTAGTTCAGGAATCGATTGTGGGTTGTTCTTATAAACCTAGCTTTTCACGTAACCCCAGAGAAAATAGTCCAACGGTGTCAAATTACATGATCTTGGTGGCCAAGTAACATCACCTTTTCTGCTAATAACACGTCCAGGAAATTTGATATGCAATAAGTCGATTGTGTCGGGAGCGGTGCACTTGGACACGGTGCATTTGGACACAGCCAATCACAGCACCGTGTGATTAGAGACATTTGTAGGGTCCCTTGGAACAGCGACTTGTGATTGGACTGTGTCCAATTGCCCCGTGTCCAACTGATATACACCCGATTGTGTCAGTGGCTGTGTGGCATGTTGCGTCGTCTTGTTGAAACCACATATCCTCCAGATCAATATTATTCAATTCAGACCACAAAAATTCGTAAAATACGCCATGTTGTGGAGTCACTAAGTCCAAGTTGTTGTGAACGTCGACTAATGAACATTTCCGGGTCTTGGGCAACACTTTCACTAACCAAATCAATATGCTCTTGTGAGCGACCGGTGCGACAATATTTTCCTCTTCTCTTATTTTCCACCGAACCAGTTTCTTGAAATTTTTGAACAATTCGATTGATAGTGCTTTCAGATGGACGATTATGCAAACCGTAAATATCACGTAATTTTCTAAAAACATTTTTCACTGAACGCCTATTTTCATAAAATAATTCAACAATTTGAACGCGTTGTTGTATTGTGTACGACTCCATTTTTATAAATGTCATACATTACACTTCTCAAATGTGATAAGACCCAGGCAAATTTACAACGCCATCTGTGTTTTATTCAAGAATGAAAAAAACCGCTCAATTTGAAAGACCCTTTATATACTTACGCCCCTGTCGGGCGGGCGAGTGCACTTGCTGGCGAGCGGTGTGTGTGTATATGTGTGTGTGGACCACCCTCCAATGATCTTGATGTTGACATATATTATAGAACTAACTTTCCTGAGTAAAAATTAAAAGGTTTTAGCCATCGCTTATTGTTCATTAAAAAGTTATTAACAAAAGAAGTCCCATGAATAGAATGTAATTTTTAGGTATCATGTACGTATTAAAAAAGGTAACATTTGTGCTATAAAGAATGGGTTACGTATATACGTATATAGTTTACTATATTTCAATAGATAGGTTAGGTTTGAGTTAGTTTTTCAGGGAAAGAGTGCGGAGGAAGAGGAGGAGGCCCTCTCCCGCGTATTTACGTGTACTATTTTATATACATACATCGATTTAACTTATATATACACAGTGTTGAATAATTACGTATTATTTATTGAACTTTTTTTGTTAATAACTTTTTAATAAACAATGAGCGACGGTTAAAATCTTTTAATTGTTATTCAAGAGGATGTCCTTGATAATATATGTCAACATCAAGACTATTGGAGGGTGGTCCCCTATTCGGCATTTTTACTGAATTTATAATTATCACTGGTTTACTATATTAAAGTAAAGGTACTAAAAGCGACATACCATATTGTTTTTGAAGGTTATGTCTTAATGTAAAGTTCAAAATATAAATGTAAATATGTATACATGTAATTGGAAGTACCCTCTATCAGATAATATCACATTTTTACTGAAATTGTGTCTCGACTTAAAACAAAACATGTTTTTGAAAAACACACGAAAATAGAGTTCAAAGAAAATGGGTCCCAAAAGCAACATACCTATTGGAAGTTATATAACAAGTTGCATATATGATAATAAATAGTTCGTTAATGCGTTTAATGGTTGAATAATATTCATTTTATTTAAAAGTAATATTTATGTTAGTTAATGTTCACTGATGTACATAATTACAAGTAATTATTGAAAATGATTTACATTTACCCTTATAGAAATATTATACTAAGAATCATTGATAATTACTTATTATCCAGTATTTTTAATACTGAAAATAAGTAATTATCAATGATTCTTAGTATGATATTTCTATAAGGGTATGCAGCAGAGTAAGTTCATATACAACACATGTCAATTCACAATGTGAAGTTAGAATCAGATTATGTTAGTCACAGACTACCGCATACTATAGGTATGTCACTTTAAAACACATTCTCATAAAGTTTTTCAAGTTACACAATAAAAATGTGATAAAGATTAAAATATTCAAAAAATATTTGCACAAAAGCTAAATGTATCTAGAAGAACTTAATGTTGAACAAAAAGATAATTATCGATATTTAGTCTATGTAATTCGCCAATAAAAATCATAGAAATAAAATTTGTGAATTTCTAAAACTCAATATTTGCTAATTTAGCATATAAAAGAATAATAAATGTACCAAGTATGACTTTTTCATAATTTTACTGATAAAACGAATAATAGTTTCGATAAAATACAACATTTCATACATGAGATATAGAGGTATGTCGCTTTAGGAGTCCTATGTCGCTTTTGGCTACTTTCCTCCATCAATATTCATCGCATATCGAATGTTATTGCATTGTTTTAATATCTACCAGCAAATTGTTCAACAAACTCCAAGTAAAAATTATATAACTATTACTTGGTGTTTGCTAGGTATGTTATACTGTGAACACTATAAGGATACATTGTATAAGCATAAATCATAAGAATATTGTTGAAGTCATTGGGAATCGCCACGTGTCGCTCGATCGTCAGGTTAAAGCAACACTTTAACGGAGTCAGTACATGGATGGGTGACCGGTGGTATATCGTTTGGGATTGAAATTATTGAGAGAGGATTCACGAAAGTTTGGAGTGTTTGACAACCTTAGATATCTAGTGGTTTATGAGACATGAGAAAATTAGGAATATATAATTATATTTTTTTAAATATTATTTTATTAAATATGATTTTCTCATTTTTCACCTTCGCACAATAATTATCAGTATAAAATTACTATCAATATTTAACAGTGATTTATCAGTATTCACCGGAAATTAAGTACTGGCCAAAGAATTACTGAATTACTGGTAATACTTAATCACTAATAATTTTTCAGTATTTTTTAGTATGATATTTCTGTAAGGGTATTGTAATGTAACGACTATTTCTAGTTCTTTTGGTTTTAAAGAAATATATGTATTTGATTAGTAGATTAGATTCTATCTCTTTATAATAAAAGGACCGCACAAAATCAATGTAAAAGGCCGTTCGGTTAAATTGCTTTTAATTCGAGAAAATGTTCATTCGTGTAATGTTGATCAAAAGTCCTCACGGGCACGACGCTCAATAACCGATTGTTTAGTCGACAAAAGCATCGGAAAGTCAGAAAAATGCGTCACTTTGCTAGTGGTATGGTTTTTATACGAATGCACTTCTATGCTTCTTTATTGTATGTGTGGGTATGTGTGTGTTTTAGAGATTAGGAAAGGTTGTATATGTGATACCCGTTCTCAGCGCTACCCAAGACGTGGATGTGACAGGAGTTGAATCCCTTGTGTGTATATTTATTTTTATACGTGTGTGTGTCTGCCGTATGTATCAATGAATATGTATATGTATGTCGTGTGCGTGTGATGTGTATGTGCGTGAGCGCGATTGTAGACATTTCCTGAAATTTGAGACAATTTGACCGAACGGTCTTTTATATTGATTTTGTGCAGGGTCCTTTTCTTATCATAGATTTTTACTTAAAAATATAATTTATATACAAATTCTTAGCTACTGCAACGGTGAGCGTGGCAAAACCTCATTTGATAGGCGAAAATGACGAACCTGTGAATCTAAGCCCGGAAACTGATTTGGACGATTTTTGGCATACATCTGTGGGAAAGTTCCGTTTTACGATAGAGGAATTACCAGAATATCTACAATACATACACAAGCTATTGAAGGTATCGTGAAGGAATTCTGTAATAACGTTATAAATTGTAATGTTGTCGTCCTTAAAATTATAAGGACAACATTTGAAAACTACCAAAATTACTAGTAAAATTATTAGATTTTAGTGGAGGATTAGTTTTAATAAAAATCTGTTTTACAGGAAATAATGACAATTGACAAACCTGATATACTGTATTACATGCTACAATGTTTGAATATATTATGCTTGTATGGTGATGCGTTTAATGCGGCAGTGAAAGATCATCAAGGATTTTTTATATGGTGTCAGGAAAACTTGTTAATAAGGAAGTATGTATTTTTAACCTTAATTTGAAACATTGTGGAGTAAGTAACATCAAAGAGATATGCAAGAAATAGATTTTAATGAAAGTTTCTTTAATTATATTGTGTAGTTTGTGGGAGCTTTTAAATGCCGAGCACTCACACATAGCGCAAGTGACTGTTCCATTATTATTGCATTGCGTGACATTACCTTGCGGAACTGATACTTTTTGGCGACTCGTGCAAGAAGAATTTCACAATTCCGATTGGCGCGTTAGATTTGTTGCAGGTAATTACATATTGGTTTAATATTTCTTCTTATGTTGTTATTGGTGCATATTATTCACAAGGAACACTAGGAAATTCAAATATTAAAAAAATTCTGGAACTTTGAGTGCGAGTAGAATACTTTATCTGTAACACAAAATTATTTTTTGCTCGTGCGCAATTACAGTTTTAGGGAGTGAAACACCCATTTGAATAAAATCAGTTTTTTCTTTTGAAGGAAATATCATCGAAATTATAAGAGATAGAAAAAATTTTTTAAAGTGAAAATTGAATGATTTCAAAAGTACTTTAGAACTATAATAAAAAAATGTTTTTAAATAGGGGTGGGGTTGGGGATATACAATAAATAAATAAACAATTAAAAATATTTTTTATTATAGTTCTAAAGTACTCTTGAAATCATTCAATCTTTATTTTAGAAAATTTTTCTATCTCATATAGTTTCGACAATATTCGCTTAAAAAAAAATCGATTTTTTTAAAAGAATATTTCACCCCCTAAAACTATAATTCTGCACGAACAAAAAATAGTTCTGTGTTACGGATGAACTACTTTACTTACACACAAAGTTTCAGAATTTTTTGAATTTTTGAGTTGCCTAGTGTTCCTTGTCAGACAACATGCGTCTAATGGATATCTTATACCCAGTGAAAACAGGTTAATCAAAATGATGTTAATATAACATCAAAACTATCGTTAGTTGTTATTGTGTTAGAAAAATAATTTAATTTTACGAAAAATTTACATTAGGTAGATTGATTTCATGCGCGATAAAATTTTATAGGAAAAGATAAAAATATATGTTTAGATGATAATTGTAGCATTATATGGAAACAATTTAATCCATGTCATCTTGACATCAAAATGATTACATTTTGATAAAACTATTTGATCTATTCTGTTATTATCTTGAGGGAGATCTCCGTTGTTGTTTTGTAGTGTAGTGTAAGTGTAGTTAAATTAAAATTTTCTGACAATTTTTTCATTCACGCTGAAGCCAAAATCAAGCGTTGGTTTTAAACTGGCAATGATAGAAGAGTTAATAAGTCTCGTTTTCATTACCTATATTTTGAAGGATTATGTTTATTGATGTTAGTTTGGTTTGTATTCATTTAATCTCTGGAAGATCTAGATAGTATTTTCATGTTTGATTTTTGATGTAACGTTTTTTTATGAGACAAATTTGGTTAGAAGACGTTTTTCCTAATGTAAAAATAACATACTAAGCTGTATTATGCATATAAGTTTTATTACAGTTTATAGTCTATTTGCTTAATTATGTAAATTAACCCCTTGACCTACACTATCTCCCGATTGCTTGGGCCATAGTCTCGGCCAGGCTCGTCTTATTTATTATACGTTTGATCCGAACGAAGTACCACGAGTCAGACTCGTGCTTATTGTTTATGGACCAAATTCCTTACCACTCGTGGTTGTAGGCCAAAGGGTTAAATTAACAAACTTAACAATTAATAGTTAACAATTTGGTTATTAACTAAGTTTGTTTATATTTATCTTGCCAGCTTCATTATGGGGTTAAGTTCTTAGACATTTTTTGTTATGCATGTTGAGTTTTTTTCCTAAACTTTGCAGGATATATGAAATATTTTCTGATACTTGTTTAAGGTTTATAACAAGATTTATAATTATTGTTATTGATTATTTTGATTTAATATATCTATGTTATGTTATATGTTTATAATATAATTTCCAAATTACTGTATTTTCTGCATAACACTTGCAAGGATTGTAGTGTTAGTTTATTTTTATTTTACATACAGTGAAAAATAAGGTTATAATTATTTCTCTCTCTTAAGGGGGCTTTTACATTCGTCGGCCGTAAAAATAGCCTATTTTTACGAATTTTTAAAAGAAAATCTATTATATATAGGAAGATGCGGTTTTCTTCATGGAATTGTTTAACATTTAAACTCCAAAAAAATTTTTTTATTTATAAAAAGATGCGTTTTAATGCCTCCAAATGGCGATCGAATTTGCGGTCAGAAAAACACGCCTCAATGGCGGAAGTGATTCAGCTTCTGCAAATTATCTGAAATCAAAAAACCGATAATTTTTATTAATTATATGAGTGCCGCCATGTCTGGTACTAGAATGAAGTCGATTGCATGAAATTTATAAAAAATACGGCATTGCAAAAGAAAAGTTTAAATTTTTCAAAAAAAGTCTGTTACCTTTTTACTTATAAAAAATCACATTTTTGTTGTAAAAACTTAATTCTAGTACCAGACATGCGCAAAAGTGTTAGGATCAAGAAAAAACTCCCAGCAGGTTATCTTTATTGGTTTTTTAGTTATCACTTCCGCCAGCTCGAAAAACATGGTTTCGAGAAAAACGCGTTTAAAGTTTTAGTTCGACTTTTTCACGTATAACTAAAATTTTAGCGTACTTACGGTTATTCTGCAATACCAGAGCCATATAATAAACCCCCTGCTTCTTAAAAAAAATCGTTTTCTGCCAATTTATCCAATCGCCGAGCTGTTCTGGTTTCTTTCGATGAATTTGACGTGCGACGATTTGCCTGTCTCACGCGTTGATTGTCCTTTTCTTCAGCACATAGATTCGTTAATATTCCAATACGGATTCCCAATATGTTCATTATTTTCAATAAACTTTTAAATCCGTCATTGAATGTGCAGGTTGCCAAAAATGCTGCGACAGACATAATTTTTGCACCAGAGAAGACATGTTTCGGCGCAAAGTGCCAGAGAACTCCGTTATAACTCTCGTTATTATTTTGTGTATGTCCCCCGAGACATCGCGTTAACAAAGCATCATCTGACAAATCTTCATAAATTTTATAAATGACAGTTTGAACTTCAGAAACCAGAGGTGGATCATGATGATAATTTTGAAGTGTGCCGTTAGTTTCCGCGACGCGCCAGCTACACCAAGAATCTGATCCTGGAGGACAATGAGACTGCATGGGCTCTTCATCGGTTGATATTTTATGATAATATATCGCCCATACTACATTTTTCATGTCCTGTAAAGACTGTGTTTCGTCGTATCGCCAATCTATAATAAATAGTGAGATCTTTAATTAATTTTTCTGTTAATTTTCCTGCTCCCTTTCCACCAATCCCTTTATGCGATTTTTTGGCGTTTCTCAATCTACTCCCCATACGTTTCTGAACGTGTGCAATACATTCTTTTTTCTTACCGATAATTCGTCTCCGTATGGGTTTTCATTGAGTAAATTTTTAAAAGTTTTGCTGTCTCCATCGCCTATATAATTTTCGTACATAACGCCGTGTAAATCTTGTGAATGTTTGAACATTTCAATAATGCCGTCGACTTCCATTTTTCCAGCGCTTCCTGAATGATTGATCGTGCAGTTCTGTTCGTGTTCCTCTTGCCACAATAACTCTTCTATAGAATCATCATGTTTTCGAAGTGAACATGCTTTACAGAAGCTAGATTTGATCACAACATCTAGTACTTTGTTTATGTACTTTCCGATCAATGTAATAACACCAAATAAGGATGAGAAGCCTCGTTTGCTCCATGTACCATCACCAGATACAGTTAAATGTAACAGTTCGTTTCCTGTTTTTGTATTTTCATCGATTTCTTTTTTTGCGGCATTTTTCAAACTAATATCGTGCACAGCTTGCGCGGCTGTGTAAATGTTGTCCATAGCAGTATAGTACATACTTGTAGTAAAGCCGTTACATAAATCGATTAAACCACAAAATACATTTAAGTCACTCAGGCCAATGTCCAAAATGCGCAACACAAACACTATGCGTTGATTAATTTCAAACGATCGATTGTTAATAAGTGGACAAGACTCGATGCTTTCTGTACTGTAGCTACACTCAACGATTAATCTAAATCCTAATCCAATTTCTCTAGTTTTACTGAAACGAACTTCTTTTTTACATTTTTTGCACACCAGTATTTCAGTTAATTTAGAAAAAATCGATAAAAAGCTAATAATGCAATAGCTTTGCAACACATCCACTTGTACGTTATGATCAGTAGACTCTCGTAGTTTTCTTGCCGATGTATTGGCAAACTCGCCTTTCATTTTCGCTTGAATATCGATTCTTTCGGAATTGTCGTTTCTTTGTTTTATGTCCAGATCGAATACCACTAAATTTATAAATTTTCTTTCCGTGGAACATTTTGAGACGCACGTTATTCAACTCACGCTATGCATGACAAAGAACAAGGTTCGAGCAGTTCTAATGGCTTTCTACCTACTCCTAAACTATATAATGTATAGAAGGTAACAGGAATATTTTCTCTGGATCAATAGAAATTTTGAGTAAAGTATAACCGACATCTGCCGGTTCTCTCGGAATAGTGATCTGAATAGCATTTACAAGTTCTGCTGTGTTGGTAGGCGCTTGGAGAACCCGTGCGCCCTTATGTATTGTAACGCTACACCCGCGGCTCGTGCAGCCGGTTTCACTAATCGAGTGCAGCGACATAAAATGATGTTTTCTTCGCGCCTCGGCGACCGTTCGGCAGATCCGGCGAGACTCGACAGCTCACACGAACAAAACCAAGCTCTAGATGGGCGCCAGGTACGGCGGTCCGTACCCACTAAATAAGTCTCAACACTAAGTATTACTCTAAGCGGTGGTCTCGCCGACGAGGACAACCGGCCCTCCGCCCGAACGGCTCGCTCGCACGTCCGGCAGCTCAGCCCTGCTCTCGGTAGAGGGGCTGGTT